TGTAAGATTCAAATAACCACTGTTTATTAAATGGAGATGGATGTTTACATGGTACATATACGAAAATAAGATTTTTTACAATTTTTGTCTGTCTGTTTGTTCCGGCTGATCTCTGAAACGGCTGGACTGATTTTGACGGGACTCAAAAACTTCACTGGCAGATAGCTGATGTAATAAAGAGTAACTTAGGCTACTTTTAGTTTAGAAATTTTATTTATTGTTATTGATATATATATAATTCGGGCTCAGTTAGTTCTTAAAAATTGTCAAAATTTACTAAAAGTTCTTCATCACAGCGGGACTTGAACTAAGCTAACCAATTAAGGCTGATTGCCCCGACGTTGAAATGTCTCAGAATCATCTTAATGATCAAAATGTTCAGTTCAAAGAGATTAACCATACTTTGGGCAGCGCAAATGACATTTGACAAGCCGTTATTAAACAAAACTATTCTTTTGACTGGTTATGAACCCTTTTCTGAATCATATAGTTAGCCTGGGCTACCGTCAGTTTGTAAATGTTTACTTTTGTGTCCGATCTAAAATAAACTTTAAAAATAAACGCGATAAATCCCTAAACATAGTTTCATATAGTAAATTATTGCAAATTTCAAGACGGCACTAGCTAGCCGTGCCCACGTCGGAAATATCAACTATTGATAAAGGAGTCACCCCGACTGCGGAGCCGCGGGCATCGCTGGCGGCCAGCGAGGTTAGCGTGGCCCATTGTATGCCTGCTCCGAAATTAAATTATTCAGGTGTACGATACATCTAAAATCGCCATAGCCTCTGTACTTTGATTGCAACTGGCTTAGTTTTAGAACACTAACATTTTGAGCAGCGTTAGTCGTTCATTCCTAAGCCAAGCGGTCGTGTGGACAGATTTCTCGGATTGTTCTTGACGAATACATATATGAGTAAATCTGTTATATTCTGAATATACGTAGCTAAAAAGAGGCAGGCATTGCCTAGTGTGGGGGTCAGAAATAAATTTATCCTTTAAACGAGCAATTCTTGTATACATGTAATCGGATTCTCGGATTCTCGGAAACGGCTCCAGCGATTTTCATGAAATTTAGTATGTGCGTAGATTCGGGGGCGAAAAATCGATCTAGCTAGGTTTCATTCTTAGAAAATGTCCTTTTATCCCTGTTTTCAGGGATTGAAAAATATCATTCGAAAATGACAGTAAATTTCGCCGCAAAAAAATTTTATAATAGCTCGGTCGGTAATCGGGCGGCCCCAAAACAGACGGCCGCGGTTCGTATCACGATCATTTACACACGCATTTTTTACTTTTTTTTTCTATACCAGATCATTTTTTTTTTATTTCATATTATATTTTATTTCAAATTACACGATTTACACGATTTACCATTTGTCCTCCAGGTACTTTTAATTAAAGAACGAAATTCGTTGCGTTTTATTTTAATACCTTATTATTCGTTGTATTCAATACAATAACCTTGTTTAAAGTTTTTGTGTGTATTGAATTCAGACTTTCGATAAAACGTAAATATACGATATATCTGATGACTCCGTGGCGCAGTTGCCAAGGTATTGGCTTCGGCGTTAGGGTTTCGTGGGTTCGATTCCCACAGGGTACAACTATTTGTGCGACCCACAGATAGTTGTTACGCATCTGGGTGTTTGTCCTCGTGCAATTTATGTTTACAAAACGTCCTTACAATACAGGATAATGTTATCCTAAAGTGAGGGCAATATTTTTAAAAAATACAAATAAAAAAAAATATCAGATTAGACTACAGTGTAATGACAGCGTTTAATAACAATTATATAGGCGCATTTTAATATTATTACTAGTTAACGGTGACGAAAATAGTTGTTTTAACAATGGTTTAGAAATTTGGAACTTGTCAGTAATAAAAAAATGGTTTTTTCAATTGTAAACTTCCTTAAGTTTAAAATTCCTATATAGTGTTTAACTTTCGAATGAAACGCATTAAAATCCACCACTGTAAGTGAAATTTTATGCTTAAATATATTTTATACTAGCTGCTGCCCGCGACTACGTCTGCGTAGAAGCTGAAGGTGTAACATTCAGACAGAATACATAAAAATATGTATATAAATTATAGCCTATGTGTTATTCTGATGTATAAACTATATTATTGTAAAGTTTCATTAAAATCTATTCAGTAGTTTTTGCGCGAAAGAGTAACAAACATCCATCCATACATACAAACTTTTACGTTTATTTTATTAGTAATATTTATATTTTACACTTCTGTCGCACGAATGAGCAGGTCAGTCCGGGCAGGTATCATGGCCTCACGAAATACTGCCATGAAGTGGAGGTGTTATGCCTCTGCGTTACGTCTGGTGAGTGAGGTAGCCGGGGCCAACTATATCAAAAGGTGGCAGCGCATCTGCAACCCTACGAGTGTTGTAAATGTCAACGGGCGGTGTTTATCACTTAACAAAATGTTAACCGCCAGCTCACTTGCCACCTTCTAACATAAAAAACGTGGTACATGAAGAAAACAGTTGTGGTAGTGTCTATGTCTTCAGACCTGCACTGGAAAAAGAAGGCTAACGAGAGTATCGATTTATCGTGGGCAGTATCACAAGAAACCGACCGACATCGGTTTCTTATAATACTGCCCACGATTTTTATCGACGGCTGTTTAGTTCCGAAGCAGGCTTCAACACTTCATGAAGACAGTCATCACTTCGCGAAGTTCACATACATACTTACAGGCCAGCAACATCCGATGGACAGACAAAGATTTGTTACATTTCCCGATAAGTTTAGATTACGTTTACTTAAAAACGATCGACGAATATAGATCGTATATAGATCTTATATAGTATCGTATATAAAACGGAATCCACAAGCGCATTTTGGGAGAAAGGTGACACTGCGTGGAGGATCAATAACGTGTGCCGGAATATTTTCAAGGAGCCCTACGGAGTTATTGTTGATAAAAAAACGGGCATCTCCATAAAAATGTGGCCCCATTTACCACACTCACCAGAAGAAACGCTAAAGTACGTACTTTTCACGACGGTCTTCTGTGAGGCCGTGGTATTTCTCCGGACGAGCCGGTCTATTCGTACAACAAAAACTCGAAACTGTTGCGTGGCCCTAAGTTTCGAAAATTTATTATTTTTTTTTATGTGAAAAGTTGCTAAGCAAGCAGACGGTTCACCTGATGTTAAGTGAATACCGCCGTCCATGGACACACGAGTACCCTACCACCGTAAAAATCTTTAGGCATATTGATTAAATCTTATTTATTCTATGTGAATGCTTGACAACACAAGACAGAATTTGGTTGGAAATTCTTAAGTCATAGTTTTTTTTAAACATTAAAAATATAATATTAAAAAAGAAACTACCTATATAGTATTTAAAAAACGCTTATACATTTTTGAAGGGATATATTCGCAAATATTTCCCTTCGATTTTGGGATCACCACAGTCCATTGCGGTCACAAATAGACAAAGCGATATCGATATGTCTAAAGATTTTTAAGGCTTGTTGGCATTTGCCAACAACGACGTGACCAATTCCGGCGGTCGCACGAAACAGTTCTCCACAAAGCTAAACACATATGCGTCAATGGTATTGTGGGAACAAAGCAAACAGTATCACGCAGGGGATTTTCATTAATCTACTATACTTCCACTGAAAATACAACAGCTAAACTGCTAATCGAAATACCACAATTTATAAAAAAGTTAAACATTATATTCGTATTTTCGTTTGCCAAATTTGATATATTTGAAGAATTTTAATAAATTTGCCAATAGAGAAAGAAACAATATTTTGAAATTCCTTCAAGTCAAGTCAGATTTAAGACTGAACTTACATGAACTAAATTAAGGATTATTCAGTTTCTGAATACATTTTGATCTTTCCAGAATATGCACAATATTTTTATTTACTCAAATTTACTCAAACTTATCTTTATAGACCACATTGGTGTAATTTTAAATAATATATAAAACTTCAAGTGAACAGTAAATCTTGGTTTTTGTCTGGTTATATCAGTATCAGATTTATATCAATTATTTAATTCTGAGTAGAGACATCTCGTATCAAGTAAAACAACCTTTTGACATTTGCCCAATAATATATTTTATAAACTAGAACTAGAATGTACTCTTGTTATAAACCAGTCATTATTTTCCATTTTTTATTCAACCCCTGCAAACAGCGTTTAAGTAGCTCAAAGCCGGACTGTTCCTTGAAAACTGACGTTAACAAAGAAAATCCTCTTACAAAGAGCTAGGCAAATAATGTGCTCTTAGATAATACAGACTTGGGAAATAAAATTATATTATAAAGTAATGCACTCTGTACGTAGGCTTCATTAGAAACACAGACATAAAAAGTTACCTTTTATACGGCTCATATGACTCGATAATCGTTATGGAAAAATACAGTAAATTTGTTTTTAACTGAACTTTGTGTTTTATAAGATTTCATTCCATTTAATTATAATTTTAAATAATCGTCGTTTCGAACACCATAAAGCACACATGATTACAGGACATGCATTAACCGTAGGAAACTCTAATTTAAAAATAATTCATCAGATTACAGAAAATAATCAACAGTTTTTGTTAAGTATTATTACTTTTAAAATTCTGAGAATACAAAAAGAGGAGGCACGAGTGGTTACGACTGAAAGCTACAAAATTACCTTCGCGAGCAATGTAACGGCTATCCTTTTTTTGTGAATTTTCGTAACGCTTAATTTATTCGAACAATACGCGCGCCGCCTTCAGGCGACGTCACGACTCGCGAATCGCCTTCGGCTTCGAATATAGAACGCACTGAGGTCATAAATTATTATTTAGCCACATTGGCCGCAAAGCTCACATTCAAATATGATTATTTTGTAAAGGGGGACACAATGGCGTAGCGGGGTGAGAGGCTCTACCGATAGGGATGCCGCGTGTACGAACTCACCTGCTACCAACCACAAACTTACGACCAGAGTGAAAGTAACTTTGTAACACCAAGAGGAATGTCAAAAACAAAATCGAAAAAACCACAGGCCAGTAAAAGAAAGCTACTATTCTGTATTGCTATATCAGAATTGAACATCCTGAGACGATCAGAGTTACGAAATGCGGCTAGAGTGGACAGGTTCAATTTTTTTCTAGTAACAAGTCAACAGGGTATTATCGGCACTTCTTTATATTTGTATGTTGTATGTATTCTAACTAGAAGTGCAGTATAACCCAAATATGAATTATAAGTACTGTCCTAACTAAAGTTACGGGAATATGTTTAACACGGGCTGCCTGCAGGGCAGCTGAATTGGCGAATGGAAAGTCGAGTGCCAACCCTAGCGTGCAGCGCTCACGGCGCCGGCACCAGGCACCGCCGGGCCTCCTACGATACCGGGGAACACCTAGCAATGGTCCTGCACCGCGGGCGGTTCCGCGGGCGCCCATCTACAGAACAATCGTTTCGAAAATTATTTCGAATCCGCCTTCAGCTAAGAGCGAGTCAGCGAGCGTCTTCGGGAACGCCCCCGCCGCGAATGCGTCGAGTGTGAACGGAGACGGGGAATTCGTCTGGATCCTACAGGATAATGATGGCTTGGTTATTGTCTTTTTGAATCGTTTAAATGGCATGGTACTGAAAAGATTAAAGATATGGATGCTCTAGGAACTACATCTTTATATCCATTTTCATTCTACCACCCTCGATCTAAACGTTGAGAGTTTGTGTTTTTCTGCATTAATGAAAATTATCTTAAAAAATTAGAGAATGAGGTTAGTTCTATTCTAACAACCGACTCATCTAATTTTCCAATCCTATATTTCTGTATGTTCGCAACTATTGTGGTCTGCTTGATAATACCGAAAAATCATTGGACTCTAACGGATTTTAGGGAAATGAGATTATCACGAACACTCATAAATAACTTACACATTTCCTATATTTCCTAATTCAACAATTGATTTTATACATCATCATCATCATCATTTCAGCCAGTTTGAGTCCACTGCTGAACAAAGGCCTCCCCCATAAACTGCCACGAAGTACGATCCTGAGCCACCTGCATCCATCAACTTCCTGCACATTTGCACAGGTCATCACTCCATCTAGTGAGGGGCGAGGGGGGAAGGGGAATTAATGGAAATAAAATGTGAGAAATGCTACGAACTTATTACATTTTTATTAAAGTAATTTTTTGTCAATCTAAGCGCTTTCTGTATGCAAGTCACTATATGAGATATTATGTATTACACTTAGTTTTTTTTTGAATATATAAAATGCTCAAAATTGAGTTGTATGTTAACTGTTAATAATCTAATAATCTAATACAGTGGTTCTAAAATTATTTAGGAATAAATCTGCATGTATACCTTAAAGTTCGAGTTATAGCCATCTGTTATAAGTGGTAAAAAGCGCTACTCTACCCCACCTTTGGGCCAGTGTGCACAAATTTACATCTTCATTTGCAATTCCGAGAATCGTATTTAAAGCTGAATAATTTGGCCATTATCACCAAAATACTCACAGGCTTAAGAATTAATTGATTGATGATGTTTACACCTTTAGCATACAAAGTTAGAGCCAGTAATCTATGAAAAATATACCTACATAGCTATTACTTTAATAGTGGCTAGTTCGTTTGAAAGATGGCGGATTCTATCAAAAACGTATTTACAACATTGCTGTTTTTTAGTATTTTCTCAAAGAGGAGCCTATTCCTAAAATTTTTTTGAATTACTATTAAGGAAATATTAATATTAGCTTTTCGAACTATTCTTCTAATTCTTTTTGCAGATAACGTATTATTCGTCTGATCTTCGTATTTATCATTTGTGGTATTCCCTCTCGGTCTTAGGTAACGTATGAAGTTCGATCACGGGCCACCCAAAAATGGTTAATAGTTGATTTGCTACCTAAATTTATGAATGTATGGGCATCTAATAAAAAGGCATCTAATCTTAACTTTCGACTGAGGGTCATCTACTGACTAGTAAGAAGCTTCTCGAATTTAGAGCTTTCAGTTATTGATAATATTTAAACAAGTCATCGTATAAAAATTGCAGTGTGAGTAACTCTTGGCAGGCTCTCCATTTTCAATGGTAAATTCACTTAACTCGTTCACCATATACCAGTTTTTTTCGGCAACAGATTATAGATAGAGATGCTGTGTGCTGATATGGAAATTTCGTGTCAAAAAGTAAAATAGCAGCTGTACTGGTATTCGTAATGTCTCAATATCCAATGATAATGGCGTTATTTGATCCATTAGTTTGTTTGTTTAAATTGTTTTGACTTTAAAATAAATAAATAAAGTTATATACTTATAATATTAAAATCGCAAGCTGGTTTTCTTCATTGAGTACAATTATTCATTATCGGTAATTAAATATTAAAACGCACGATTTATTTAATCATTAATTAACTTCACGCCAAATATTGACAGAAATTTTCTCTACTGAGTAAATTTGAACAGGATAGCAACTTCAACGCTAAAGGTAAGTGTGTTACGGGTAACCGAGAAAGGGTAAAATAAAAACTACTAGAATAACTTTGAAATAATATCAATCAATTGAATGAAATGTCTTAAAATCTTTTTTCGGCAGGTCCCGAAAGTTAAGAATAGTATTTTTCTATTTTGTTAAAAAACAACTGAACAAATCATATTGAACAACTTGTTGCTCAAAACTATTTTTCAAAAAAGTTAAGCTTAATCTTTATCATTGCAGAAAAATTTCAAACCTAAATAATAAAGCTCAGACATAAGACAAATACTAATCAAATAGTTTATAGCTACAACTGTATAAAAATTAATATTTAAAATAAACCTTATAGAAAATACATTAAATAGGTATTAAAATACATTAATAAGGTATAAGGTATATAGTAAAGGAACAAAAATTATATATTTGTGAAAGAGATATAATATGTAAGAACTTTCGCAAAACGCACTAACGTAAATATCGCGGAAATTATTTTACATTTTACATTAAATATAAATCACAAACGTGATTGTGATTTATATTTAATGTAAAACTTTTTTACGCATTTCTTTAAATTAAAATCGCATCATTTTCATGACTTAAAATAAATATAATTAGAGTAAAACTTATTCCGTACTTACGTTTTCCGTTGAAAGTTGAAGAGGAGACGGGAACCGTGAACACGTGCCTCTGCTAGAAGCGATCGCGCACAATAGACGGGACTCGGCAGCCCCAACGAGAGCTCGGATAATCCGCGGAAACGGAAGCGGTATTGCCAGAGCAAAATTACACACCTATGTTAATGATTGAGAAACTATTATGTATCCATAGTTTTAATCGAAATGTAATAAACATTTTTACCATCTTTGAGTGGTTCTATTAAATAAAATGTCCCGTGTTTAATTTGGAAATTCCGTCCCAAATATATCGTCCCAAATCTTCACTAGATGGCAGTATCCCCAAAACTTTATTCATGAAGAGAAATAGATTTCATTATTAATATTCTTAATAATTTGCGTAGATTAAGAAGATGCCATACTGATTATGTGTGCAGTAACACAAATATTATCATGTAATAATTTCGGCAATTTAAACAATGCAACGAATATTAAATTGAAATTTAGAATATCTTTTTCCTATGCGCTATCAATAAGTCTCCACATTATGATTTTAGACCTTGGATTCAACGTAATCATCATGAAAGAGAATTATAAAAAAAGTGGTTTATTCTTATCTCTTCTTTGCATTTCCATTATTACCACATATTTTCCATCCATTATTAAACATTCATCCATTCTTTAATGTAGAGCATGAATTATATTTTACATTTTTTTTCACAAAAAATAAGAGAATCGTGAACAAGTTTTGTTATAATTGATTGTTAATTTTTCGGATATTAAAATTAGTCTCCCTCATTAAACAAAAACAGTACGATTCCTATTTGAAACAAGGATTCAATGATGTTTTAATAAAGATGACGCATATCCATACTGTGCGGTGTTTAAAAATTGTTTCGCTTTACATTATATGACATATATAAGTGAATGTGACGTATGATATAGAACTTTAATGACATATGATATAAAATATTGAACGTTAGAAAAGATACAGAAAGAGATAGTAGTCTAGAGAGTTGCAATGTAATTACACCATTTGGCGTAACTTGAGTGCCTCAGTTTCGGTGCGCTGGTGCCATATCTACCCCTTATTTGTAATGAATGTACTGACCAATTTCGAAAGTGCGTGCTGAAATTACAAAATATATTCATTTTTAATCTCGTTGTGATAGGTTTTGCAGCAGCATCCGCTTTTTAAGGCTCATCCAGGAAACTATCAAGAATCAAACAAGACCGATTAAGTGAATTGGGACAAAACATTTCGTATGGTAACTTATGTGACTTGTGTTTACAAACTGCATTTATAAGTCTACTTTCATGTGTGTAGTTTATAGGTTTCATAGAAAATGAGAAGTACTACGATGCAAATGTGCAAAGTGGAAAAACTTTACTAACTGTCCATACGAGAACTGTTTTAGGAAGATTTCGAAAATAACAAAATGCTCGAGACTCTTTTGCAGTGATAAAATTTTTATAAGCATTTTTGAATGTTAATTTTATTATTATTAGAGTAGGTTATCACAAGCGGGCGGTGCACAATCAAGTACAGTAGCTAATTAGTTTGTCCAGTGTACAATACAGATTAGCTGTAACAATTAGCACCTGACCGCAAAGCTATAACGTGACAAGCAAGTTATTCACTACAACAAGCTTTGCTACGCTGAAGCAAACAACTGCTGAAGCAAGCAACTACTAATACTGTGTACTCTGTAAAAAAAAATCCGTGTGATTTTGAAACGGTATCAATTTAACTAATAGGTACCTTACTTCGTCTCGTGATGATGTATGCTTTATTTTATTCTAACCACCGCGGGATTAAACTCTTCAATCAAAATAACACTATGTATTTAATGTCATCAACTAAATGGAATCACAAGTTCGAGTTCACAATAGATAAATGTTTGGCAGGTTATAAAATGCTATCTCTAAGAATTTAATATTTACGTTAGTACCTTCGAGTTGTTTTGTTAGGTCGTATTTGAAATAGAGGATATCATCATTTTAAAAATTTGTCAATAATTGATTACTTGCAATTTTGATCTTTGTTTATGTTATCAATAGAATACTGTTCATGAATCATTCCTACCTAATAATGACGATACAGATAAAAATGTATTTTATTTTTATTACTCAGAAAACAAAAAGGATCTGAGATGCTTGATACAGCATTTTGTGAAAATGGCTTTAAACTGCTCAAAATGTGAATTTTTATTGCGAGGATCCAACCTCAGTCTTCTGGGTAACGCTTCCAGACGCCTTACCAATTAAGTTAAGCAGCCGTACTTAAAAAAATATTTGTAGTTCAACATTAGATTCAACAAATTTGAACCATTGCCAATTTGTTAATCAAGTTCAACACTTACATTATAAACTAAAGTAGCTTATAAATTTGATATAGATCTAACGATTTGTAAATTAATAATTGCAGTTCAAACTTGCGGATTGTTTATGTAAAGCACTTAAGTGAAGAGCATGGAAAATAAACTTCAACATTTCCTTTCGAGTTCCTGTCGGTATTAGTTTCGCATCGTGTTGGTAAACTTTAAATTTGTGCCTTTGATCAGCT